AGAGTGCAGCAAACTACTTATAGATTCTACTGCACTGTAGCTTTTAAGAGGCGGCCAAATGGTTCACCCACCAATCAGACAGAAATCCCAGCAAACAAGAGGCAGTACTGATAACTTACCAACATAGTGTCAAGGACCCCAAGTTCAATGATCTCATCCTGCAGTGCTGTGTTGTTTGTACCCAATGAGCTGGCCAGCAGCTTCACTACATGCAAACGAGTGTTTCCTAAAGGAGGGTCCAGGACCCCCCAGGTAGTCTGCAGGGTTTCTTTCTGTTAGAGGAAAAGTACATTTTTTTAAAAGAACATCTCGCATGTAGCCACCCCTAACCCCTAATGTCCCAAAGCTTGAGGGAGCAAGGCCAACATTTTTCTCTTAGAGAAATAGCAGTTAAGAGGTAGAGGACCTTGCTTGCACAATTTAAAATCTATGTCAACTCTCCGTGTTGTCATGGGGACAGAATGAGTGGGAGTGCATTCCATGCATACTGCCGGCTGGAATCGGATCTCAGATTACTGCTGCCGGGTTGGGAGGGGTGTATCTATTGGGTAACGTGATTTATGACAGAGACTGAGGGTAGGGGAGGAACAGGGGTAAAGTTCAGAAGCAAATTAAAAAAAGGAAAGATTTGACTGTGAATAAATCTTGCCTAATGAAGCTATTAAGAAATCACTGGTTTTTGTATCAGAGAAGCGTACTACCGAATACGGATCAGGGAAGGAGATGAGTGGAAAACAGCATTCAACTGCCCCCTAGGGAGCTTCCAATTCAAAGTGATGCCTTTCGGACGGCAGGGAGCCCCAGCGGTGTTCATGCAGTTAATAAACGTGGTGGTGCACGAGCACCTCTTCAAGGGGGTCCTCGTCTACCTGGATTACATCCTCATCCACACAGAGACCATGAATGACCACATACCCCTGGTCGGACAGGTACTGAAAAAACTTCTGGCAGCCAACCTGTATGTCAAGCTATCAAAATGTGAATTCCACCACGCATGGCTAGACTACCTGGGCTACTGAGTGTCAAATGAGGGAATAGAGATGGACCTAGCCAAAGTACAAGCCGTCCTAGGCTGGCAACCCTCTCAGACCCGCAGACAGCTACAAAGCTTCCTAAGGCTTGTGAACTTCTATAGGCAATTCATCCCCTCCTTTGCAAAGACTGCCAAACCCATGACAGACCTCTTAAAGACAGGGAGCCCAGGAACAAAACTTCGCCCAGGACAACCTCTACAGTGGGACCTTACCTGCCAAAAGGCATTCGAGACACTAAAAGAAATGTTTGCAAAGGAACCGGTGCTGAAGTATCCTGACCCCGAGCAACCCTTCATGATCCAAGCAGATGCCAGTGACATGGCAGTGGGAGCAGTGCTACTCCAAAGAAACAACCAAGGAAACTTACAACCCTGTGCCTACACCTCCCACAAGCTCACAGACAGAGAGACGATGGGCCGCATGGGAAAAGGAGGCTTTCGCAGTGAGATGGGCCCTGCTAACCTGGAGACACCTGTTGGAAGGGGGCCAGAAACCATTCAAAGTCTGGACTGACCACAAAAATCTGGAGGCCCTCACCCAAACAAGTCCAATGGGATCAATATTTCAACTGCTTCAAGTTCATACTAAAGCACATTCCAGGGCAGAGGAACTTTCTAGCTGACACCCTCTTCCACATGCCTCAGTACAAATGCGAATGAGAGCAGGTGGTGGATGCCATCATTCCCTCTACCCAAATAGCTGCCCAAGTGACCACCAGACGACAATGCCGTGACCGGCACAACCAACCAGCAGGCGACCTAACCACGAGACTCAAAACTGAACGGCTAGCAGACCCCTGGTTCCAAAACAACCAACACATCTTGACAAAAAGAGATGACCTCGCATGGAAGGGGATGAAACTCTACGTCCCGGAATCCCTACGCACCCTAATTCTCCAGAGGAGCTACGACGCAAAACTGGCAGGCCATTTCGGGTTCCTAAAGATTTTACACTTAGCCCGAAGGCAATTCTGGTGGTCCGGCATAAAGAAAGACGTGGACAGTTATGTGAAAAGTTGTACCATCTGTGCCACAATGAAGAGACGACCGGGAAAACCCCTCAGACTACTGCAACCAGTAGCAGAGCCAACAAGGCCGTGGGAGGCGATCGCAATGGACTTTATAGTAGAGTTGCTGAAAAGTGGGGGAAACACGGTGATTTGGACTGTAATAGACCTGTTCTCCAAACAGGCACACTTCATACCCTGCAGTGGACTACCCTCAGCTCGCCAGCTGGCCAAGCTGTTCCTTAAGCACATCTACCGCCTGCATGGAGTACCTCAAAGAATTATCTCAGGGTCCAGTTCACAGATAAGTTCTGGAGGGAGTTCCTGTGGTCCATTGGGTCATCCCAGGTCCTTAGCTCGACTTTTCACCCGAGCACCAATGGGGGAGCAGAAAGACTGAACGCTATGGTAGAGCAGTACCTGAGGTTCTACGTGAACTATCAGCAGTCCAATTGGGCAGACCTTCTGTCTTTTGCTGAGGTCATGTACAATAATGCTGTTCACAGTAGCACAGGACTAACACCGTTCAAAGTAGTGAGCGGCAGGGACTTTGTCCCAATGCCTGAGTATCCAAGGGATTCCCCTTCCTCAGTCAGCTTGACTGACTGGATGTCGATGCTAAAAGCAACCTGGGAGAATGTCAAAAAAGCATGTGCTAAAGCAGCACAAACCTGTAAGAAACAGGCAGATAAACATCGAGCTCCGCAACGGCCATTCCGGGTTGGAGAGAAGGTTTACCTCTCCACAAAATATTTGAGGTTAAAACTCCCTAGCAAGAAACTGGGACCAAAGTTTATGGGACCATTTCCCATAGTAAAGATCATCAACCCAGTCACAGTGCAATTGAAAGTGCCTCGACTGCTAGGGAAGATACACCCGGTATTCCATAGTAGCCTCTTAAAACCCGTGGTCGGATCCACTCTGAGACCACTACCCCGGGAGCCCATGGGCCCTGTGGTCATAGAGGGCCAAACCCATTATGCGGTGCAACGAATCCAAGATTCGAGGTGGCACAGGAGACAACTCCAATACTTAATCAAGTGGAAGGGCTATCCCTTGTCAGAGGCATCTTGGGTAAAGAGTAGAAATATCCAGGCTGATGGCCTTATAGCAAAATTCCATGCAGAAAATCAAAACAAGCCTGGGGGGAAGACGTAGCCTTGAAACCTATACTTGTACTCAAATTGTTTTTGTTTCACACAGGTTGCTTTTGGGAAGTGAGGTGAGCTGGATCTCAGCTCTCCATGTTGTCATGGGGACAGAATGAGTGGGAGTGTATTTCATGCATACTGCCGGCTGGAATTGGATCTCAGATTACTGCTGCCGGGTTGGGAGGGGTGTATCTATTGGGTAACTTGATACAAGACAGAGACTGAGGGGAGAGGAGGAACAGGGGTAAAGTTCAGAAGCAAATAAAACAAAGGAAAGATTTGACTGCGAATAAATCTTGCCTAATGAAGGTATTAAGAAATCACTGTTTTTTTGTATTAAAACATAGGCTAGATTATTATGAATCAATTACAGCATCGTTAGGAAACTTGACAATCTAATTTAAATTTAAAACAATTTAAAAGTGACGCCCCTTTAAGAAAAACGTGGGAGACAGGATCAGAAAAAGAAAAGGAGCCATGGTTGTCCTGCAGGGATACAAGCTAAATTGAGGGCTAATCCGCATGGAGCGCTGTTTCCATGTGTCTTGTTTGCCAATGTTCACTCCCTAGAGACTAAAATGAATTATCTGAAACTTGAGCTGGCCAGGAACAAGGTGAGAGAGACTGCTGTGCTTATAATCCTGACAGAGACATGGTTAAAGTCATCTATTCCAGACAATGCTGTCACTATGATGGGCTTTTCAACATTTCAGATGGACAGGAGCTGTGCTTTGAGTGGAAAATCCTGTGGTGGGGGTGTATGCATTTATATTAATGAGAGATGGTGTACTAATGCTAAGGTAGTCTCCAGCCAGTGCTCTCCCGATGTTGAGTGTTTGGCTGTTAAATGTAACCTTTTATTTGCCAAGAGAATTCACTGTCATCCTAATCATAGCTGTGTATATTCCACCCAGTGCCAACAAGAAGGAAGCCCTGAGTGCTTTTTATAGCACTATCAATGACTTGCAAACTATCCACTCAGAGGGGTTTTTCATTATGGTAGAAGATTTCAATCACACTGACTTGAAGGCACTCCTAATTTCCATCAATATGTGGACTTTTGTTGCTAGAGGTGGGAATACCCTGGATATAGCTTACTCTAACATTGAGAAAGCATTTAAGGCTGCCCCTCGCCCTCATGTTGGCTCCTCAGACCATCTCTCTTTAATACTTATGCCAGCATATAAGCCTTTGTTAACTAGAGAAAGACCAATAAAAAAAACAAATGAGTGTAGCTAGCAGGAGCTATGGAAGCTCTACAACAGGGGTGTCAAACTTGATTTCATTGAGGGCTGGATCAGCATTGTGGTTGTCCTCGGGGGAGCGGGTCTGGAGCGGGCGTGGCCAGGGTGGTTGCAGCCCAGGGGTTGTGGGCATCTTTACATTGCTCGCATAGGGGGTTCCTGTGTGTGTTGAACGGGGTTTGGGAGAGAATCCAGGGGTCTCAAGTGGGTGGGGCGGTGGGCAGGAGGCTCGTCCTGTGGGCCAGAAGCCATCAGCCACCACGCGCTCCTCAGCCTTTGGTTAGACTGGGTGAGGAATTAAGCAAAAGGAAATTGAATATGGATGCAAACTAGATCAAAATAGTGTGTGCTAAGATAATAAATTTTAGACTTGCTGGGAAAAGTTTTTTTCTTGCTGGGGGTATGGGAGGCACATGGAGGCAGCCTCCTTCCCAGGATCCTTGAAGGTTTTTCACAAGAGGTTTCCATTTTACAGGGATGTTTTTCCCATTCAGTCTCCCTTATTAATCAAGGCCTTTGTGTGTGTGGAAGGGGTGGGGGCTGGATGGTTTCTGGCTGCAGTTGCAGCCTGCTGGCCCCTCAGCTGGCGCACACCGCCTCCGGAGCCCGATGCCACCACCAAACTGGCTGTCCAAGCAGCAGGAGGCAGGGGGAGGCACGTGATGCGGACCGCTGGATGCGCTTACTCCATCCCACTGTCTGTTTTGGCTTGTGGTTGGAGAACAGGTCATCTTCTCCTTGGCCCCCTCGCAGGTCTTGCCCCTGCCCATGAAGCGTGTTCCCCTTGTGCACCCAATGCACCTCGGCCCTGCTGCGGGCTGC